ATCTGAGACAGTTAACTTGCAGCAATTTAAAGAGAATAATACATTGAAATTACACTTGCATTTAATAATTTTAAAACAAACACAAGAAACGCAATCAACACCATAAGACACTCTTTCTTCTTTACTATTTCTAAATTAGAATACTTCAAACAAACACCAGTCATCATTAGCTCACTGTTACTCATCTCTGCCATTAGTCATTTTGAAGGCATTCCCTTTATTTCTGACAGTGCCTTTTTTCATCTGTCACCCTCACCACAAATTTGCACAGCAAACAGATGCACATAAATTTCTTAACACTGAACAAAAACTGAAAATAGCATATGTACGGATGACAGGTATAAGCATGTGGGAGGCTGCAGCTCATCGATCTCCACAACACTTTCTCTTCACCCTACCTTCAAAGGCAAAACAACATTCTCCTGACCATTTATTTTACAACTGGTCAAAAGCTAATTATTCTCCATCTAGCTTCAAGTCATATATATTTCAATAACTGTGCTGTAGAAGTTGCCAAATGTTAATTAATGTGGTGTAATTTTGAAAATAGTTAACATATTTAAGGAATGTGTGTAACAACAGATTTTGAAGCAATCTATTTTGGCTTGGCAATACCTACAAATCATTTTGAAACAAAATTCTTTTTTAAAAAAAAGGAAACAAAGATAAATAATAAATTGAATAACTGAACTAACGACAAACAGCAAAATATCGGTAATGGCCTTTATTTTTCCGTAAATAAAATTCAGATGTAGACAATCCTCAGGCATGTGCATTCCATACTCAAAGGACAGAAAAGATACAACTTTTTTTAAAAATCTGTTTGCTGCCTTCTTTCCAAAATGGACAAAAAGGTTGTATTCCTTAGAACAGAGTAATTATTCTATGCCAAAATGGCCAACAGTGCATGTGCCAATGGCGCTGGTGACATCAGCTCTCCACATCAGGCTTCAGAATTCGTCTGTGCACGTACTGCTGATGTCACCATGGTCCCTGTGCAATGCCGTTAACACTAGAACATGCACAGACTGTCCCACCTTTATTTCCACATTAATTTATGATAGAAGCAATGACCAATCCCTTCTGCTGCCTTGGCTGCTTCTCATGCCAATTTATCCAGGGAGGAGGAGAAAGCCTTGATTAGCCAAAACCCCTTAAAAGCATGTAAATTCAGAAGGAATCTGGACAATCCATCTAATTATGTCACTGGTTACTGCTGTCACCCTGCAACACTGTATTCCTGCGCATGCATGCTCAGTGCTCCACCTGTTGCTGGCGTTCACAATAAAAACAGCTCTGCCAGAAACTCACATGCGAATGATCTCCAGGTTTAAGTCACAATTGATATCAATAATACTGTGGTCTCTCTGAAATAACAATTTTTAAAAATGCCAATATTTCTAAAGTTGCTTAGTATTTTCTATTTTGTAATTTGATACAAAAACAAAACAGGGCATGCATAAGTCATGAATAAATACCCTTTGTACCAATCAAAAACTCCCGTTACCGAAATAAAACATTGAAATAAGAGTACAATAAGATTTCAGAGGTGAAATCTGTACAATCCGTTTATTTCAGTCGCAATGATGCCTAGATAAGGTAATGTTTCAGAGTGGCGCAAATCAGGACTTTTTCAGTTTAATCATGGTCATCTCCACCCAAAGGTTATCTAATATCAGGGGTAGGCTGTTAAGCCTAAAAAAATGTTGACATGTCTCTGACTCCTGATGCAGCAATGCCTGCTAAATGGTGGGTGAAGCCTCCACACACTCAAAAAATTCTTTCAATACAAGGTCCAAGCATATAGTCTGATACAAAGTAATATATACTAGTTCAATTATTAATTTCAAATCTGAAATCAATGGATTTTTGCTGAAGGCTGTAAAAAAGATATGGTACCAAGGTAGGTGGCTAGAGTTAACATCAGCCATGATCTCACTGAATGGCAGATGATGATGGAACAATTAAATGTCTATTGCTGTTCCCACTTGAATAATGGACATTATGTGAACAACCCTCAGCAATAAAATCATATTTCTGAGCAGGCAAAAACATGGCAGATGCAGTACAACATGGCTAATTGTGAAATTATACACTGTGGCGTGAAAAACAGAAAGGAATAATGGTGTTCAAATGGTAATTATATAGTAAACTTTGTTTTAACCAGCACCTTAGCGATTGATACTCTTGATAAACTGGCAAAAATTATATACCTCAAAACCGCAATCTACTGCAATGGCCAAGTACTTATGCTGTAAATGAAGCATAACAGTGATGTGCAATACCTCCCTGTAATACATTAAAATCAATGTCAAAACACAGTAAGCAATCGTATGTAGTGTGCTGATGTTTTTACATAGATATTTTTAGAGACTTTGATGTCTAGAGGCTTGATTCAGTCAAGATTTACTGCGGTAACGTACAGTTGTAGATTGTCTGAAATCTTTGATCTACTGGCACACTCCTGGCCCCGTACATGCTGGATAATAAAAAGTTTGCTGTGTTGGAAAGTGTGGATAAACAAAGGGATCTGGATGTCTTTGTAAGCCAATCAATGAAAGTAGATGGGTGGGTGCACTAGCAATTAGGATGGCAAACTGGGGTTGCGTGAAGATTTATAGCTCAGGTGCTGGTTGTAGATGCTGGTTTGTTCGTTGATTTGATAGCAGATGTTTTGTCCCCTTACTATGTGACATCCTCAGTGCTGTTGAGCCTCCGGTGAAGTGCTGTTGTCTTGTGCCGGTTTGAATTTATATGGTTTGGTTTTTGCTGGTTCCGGTAGGTGCCGGTTCTGGCTGTGCGTTGTAATGGTCAATATATTGAGTCTAATTCAACATATTTGTTGATGGAGTCCTCAGATGAATGTCAAGCCTCCAAGAATTCCCTGGCTGTCCTCTGTTAGATCCGATAGAAGGATGAAAGGGGATCTGACTGAAATGTATAAAATTCTAACACAGCTGGACACACTAGATAGTGGGAAGATGTTTTTCCTAATTGGGAGTCCAGAACCAAGGAACAGCATTAAGATATGGGTTAAACTATTTATCTGCACATCCTCCCAGTGTCTGTGTGGGTTTCTTCCAGGTGCTCTGGTATCCTCCCACAGTCTAAAGATGAGCAGGTTAGGTGGACTGGCCATGCTAAATTGCCCACAGTGTCCAGGGGTGTGAGGCTAGGTGGAAATGCAGGGTTACAGGGAGAGCTATGGGGTAGGTTTGGATGGGATGCCCTTTGGAAAGCCGGTGTCGACTCGATGGGCTGAATGGCCTGCTTCCACACTGTATGGATTCTATGATTCTTCAAAGGGTAGTTAATCTGTGGAATTCTCCACCACTGAAGGCATGTATGCCAAATTACTGAATATATTTAAGAAAGTGATTCCTTTTTAGATTTTGAAAGTATCAATAGGTATGGGAAGAAAGCAGATATATGGTCAGCCATGATCATACTGAAACCTTGAAGGCCCAAATAGCCTGCTCCTAGTTTCTGTGATTCCACGTACAGTATATATTATATGCTTTCAATTGATACAGGATAAATATTTTGTTCCCAAAACTACAAACAAAACATAAACTACATCATAAAACTTAATTCAAGAAAATCTAGCAGTCAATATCACATATTTACTCAAAGGTCTAGCAAAATTAAATTACTGTTTGTGAGATTAGTGATAATATTTAATTAGAAAAACTCACAATATAAAGAATCCAGGTAAACCAATTTTAAACAATAGTGAGAGCGAACTAAGTCACTGCCTTGTATTTTAAAAAAGGCTGCATGTATTCAAAAGTAACAAAAAAATTTACTTATTACAATATTGTCAGGTAGGCAACGACAACAGTTAGAAAGTAACGACAAGTAGCATTTCTTCAAAAAAAATTACATTATCAAGTTATTTCAAAACACTGCAAATTTTGAAGTTTAGATCTGAAGTGTAGTTACTTTAATGCGAACAAACTGCATCCAACTTCTATATAAACTCAAACATGACTAGTTAATCCATTTAGTGCTGTTTGAAGAGTAAATGATTTGAGAACTCCTAAATTGTAAATAGTACCAAAATTATTCTTGAAATCAAAAGACATACATGGCCTGTTTACAATTTCATCCAAGAGATGGAACCTCTAAAAATGCAGCACGTCCTCAACATTACAATGCCTAGACTACCTCGCGTTGCACAACTTATACAAACAGTTGTCTGTCTTAAAGTGATATTTTGAAGCCACATAAAGGGTATTTTAACAAGTCATGCAACATATAACAATGCTGCTGTTAGAATTAACTTCAGAAATGGATATATGGTATAATGACACTACCAAAGTGAACGAAGAATTGAGATCCTGCATTTTGCCTTATGCTTTCCATCGTTACAACGATAAACAGAGTTACCATGATGTGAGAACATGCATTTGTTGAAATGACAGCATCGCAATGAAACTGCAAGTGAATGTACTAAGCTAAGCTGTTATTAAAACGATATCGCGTCAGTCAACTGGATGTCAGTCTATGCCCACCGATGTGGTCAGTGCCAATTTGCCGGATCACAACTGAATCGCTTCAAGACAAACATATTTATCCAGATTGACAGTTTCAGGCAAATTACGGGAACAGTCATCTTCTGCATCAAGGGCTTATGCAATGCTACCCAAGCAACGCTCAAACAATCCATTCTGCAAAACCAGACACCCGGCTCTCAGACTCCCCGTTTGATCAGAGATGCAAGAGGCGCGCACTGTCCGACAACAGCATCAATCGGTAACAAATCGGGAGAAGCAAATTAAGTTGAAAACCGGGACCATCAGACGAACCTAGGGTCCATGAGCACCCACATACAAACATGCTCCCAGTTATTTACACTCAGCTGTCCGGCGCCATATTGGAAACAAAAATGGCGGCGGCGAGGATAGCCCCACACTTGGGTAAATACCATCCGCTCTATCAATCCTCCTCCGAGCCCCGGGCGACCACTGAGCACACAACCGTATCGCTCATTCCGAGTTCGACGTCCCCAGCTGTAGCTCAGCCCTCCCCTGGATCCCCAGACCCGCTGTGCGAGCATGCCTGTCACTCTACCTGAAGCTCGGCCCTCTCCACCTCCCAGTGCGCTCGCTCCATCTCGAAGCGGGCCCACTCATGCTGGATATAGTGTAAGATACCGGGGATAGTGTACTGGGGCCGCTGCTGCAGTTCCTCTAGCTGACCCTGCTGCTGCCGGACACCGTTGTTGTTGCTGCCGTTGCTTCCCGGGCCCAGCAAAGGACCTCCGGAATTGTTGTGTGAGGACATCCCTATCGGATGTTCGTCCATGTTTATTATTGTTATTACTACGGTGGTATTGTTATATTAGTGGGAAGGGTCCGCGAAGGAAAGTAACCGGCTGCGTTTCAGCGACGCAAGCGAGCCGCCATTGCCCTTCTGTCTGCAGAATATGGCGGCGGCGCTGCGCTGTGGGTGGGGGAGGAGCAGCCGCGGCCCTTTGGCCAAATACAGCAGCAGCGCTAGTGCGCAGGCGCGCCTCACTGGCCCACACACCTGCTCAGTGTCCGCAGGCTACTCACTAGGACCTTACCTGTAGTTTGTACAGAGAGGGTTGCAGTGGCTGAAAAGAGCATGTAAAACAAATGAAATGAGATTCTCCTTTCACGATCAAAGTACCAGTTTCTGCTCAGATATTACTTCCCCTAAGAAACGTGCTGGGACTCAGTTTAATTTAAAACGTTTGCTCTTTTTCCTTAATTCAAATCAGTGATCGCATCACTTTTGCAGATACTATTTAAGACCCCGTTTATTCAGGTAATTGAGTTTTTTTTTAACAGAACCTGCTAATGCAACAGGAAAGAGTTTCTGTAACTTTCTCCAATAATCTTTTAACTTGAAGCTAAAATTTCCAGCATTGCACCATTCTGGCCGATAGGAGCCTGTTGACATTTTTTGTTGGTTTTACTGGGGCAGTGGTTCGAGTGTAGGTTCCTGTCCTAAAGAGGGGAACCAGCCACAGTCTTACTATTGATCACTGTCCAGTTCTTTTTACTATTATGGGCTACAGTCTTAATTATCCATTCATTTCTCATTGTCTGAGTTTACAGAAAGAATAATCATTGCAAAAGATGCCGGAACGCTATATCCAAGGCACATAAATAAAAACAGGTGTGGATTATCCTGCAGACCTTCAAGTCTGCTTATCTACTAAATATAGAATCCCTACAGTGTGGAAGCAGGCTATTCCGCCCATCACATTCACACTAACCCTCTGAAGGACATCCCACTTTATTTCCTGCAACTTCCCATGGTTCACCCACCTAGTCTGCACATCCCTGAACACTATGGGAAATTTAGCATGGCCAGTCTACCTAACCTGCATGTCTTTGGACTGTGGGAGGAAACTGGAGCAAGCCAACATACACCTCGTGAATGTGCAAACTCCATACAGACAAGTCACCCAAGAGTGGAATGGAATCCTGGTCCCTGATGCTGTGAGACAGTGGTGTTAATGACTGAGCCACAATGTCACAACAAATCTTTTGCATCAGCTATGCTTTCTTACCCTCTCCCATTAATCTTGATTATGCGAGATCAGAAATGTATTTGTCTGGAGAGTTCACACCTCTCGAAAATTCTAAAGATTCACAAACCTCTGAGTGAAGAAATTTCTCTTCAGGTCAACCCCAAGTGATCCTTAACCTGAAATTGTTCCCTGGTGTCCTAGATTCCCTAGACAGGAGAAACAACTTCTCTTTTTAACCTGCTAAACCACTTCAGAATCTTGCATGTTTCAATAAAATCATCTCTCATTTCTTTAAATTCCAGAGTGTAGAGATCTAATTTACTTAGAATGATTGGAATGGGTAGAAAACTGGATGAAAAGAAGTTATTATAAATTCTGGAATAAGAATGCAATTAGTTAGTAATATTCACAGTCAAAAACAAAGATGTTTACAGATAATTACAAAAAAGTTTAATCAGGCTTTGCTAATTAAACACTGTGACTGAAATGGCATTCTAAAGCTTAAGATGCAGGCCCATCCTTGCTTCATAGATTGACACATCTTTCATGCAAAACATTAGTTTGATTAATAATGTAGTTATATGAATAGATCTTTTACTTTATTCTGTTTAACTTTTATTATAGAGCTAACATGTAGCAGTTTGTGTTTAAATGTTGCAAATACTAATTAGTAAGAGCAGGGATGGAATCCCAACTCAACTGGAAGAATAGGCCCCAATCAGCTTAGCCATTCATCATCAGATTTGGTTTAAGCACATCAGACTGCACTAGGCCTGCTGCTAATGTCACCTACTACTCTTAGATAATCCAGGAGGTAAAGATAACCCTAGTCTTTGGTCTATTCCATCACCCTTTTGGTAATCCAGTTTGAGAAATTGAGCTTGATGAATTTATTAGAACTCTTTGAGGGCATAATAAGCAGGATGGATAAAGGAAAACAGTAGATGTAGTGTATTTGGATTTCCAAAGGGCATTTGATGAGTTATCGCATAAAAGGTACTAGAAGAGATACGAGCTCATAAAAAAAATGTTATTGAAGAAAAAATTGTCGTTGTCAGGTTGGTAAACTGTAAATAGCGAAGTGCAGGAAGAATCGGTACTGTGGTATCTACTATTTACAATCTATCTTAATGACTTGGATGAAGGGATGGATTGTATTGTGGGCAAACTTGTTGATAATACAAAGATAGATAGAAGATAAATTGTGATGATAAGACAAAAAAATCTGCAATGGGATTTATATCGGTCAAGTAAGTAGGAAAACATTTTACAGCAGAGTATAATGTGGGAAGATGTGAGATTGTCCTCATTGGTAGAAAGAACGGTAAAGGAGAATATGTTTGAAATGGAGGGAGACCACAAAATGCTGTGCATAATGGATTTCTGTGTCCTTGTAAACACCAAAGGTTACCATGTGGATAAAGCAATTAATTACGAAGGCAATAGAATGTTACTCTTTATTGCAACGGGGAATCATAGAATCCCTACAGTGTGGAAGCAGGCCATTCAGCCCATCAAGTCCACACCAACCCTCCAAAGAGCATGCCACCCAGACTTGCCCCCTACCCTTTGCTGCATTTCCCACTGTAGATATTATGGGCAATTTAGCATAGCCTATCCACCTAACCTGCACATCTTTGGACTTTTGGACTGTGGGAAGAAACCAGAGCACCCAGAGGAAACCTACAGACACAGGGAGAATGTGCAAACTCCACACAGACCATCACCCGAGGCTGGAATCAAACCCAGATCCCTGGTGCTGTGAGGCTGCAGTGCTAACCACTGAGTCACCGTGCCGTGGAGTATGAATATGAATGGAGTATGAGAGTTGGGAAGTAAAGTAAGGAAGTCTTGCTACATCTGTCCAGGGCTTTGGTGAGATCAGACCTGATCTCCTTATTAAAAGCATATATTTACATTAGAAGCAGTTCAGGGAAGGTTCACTAGGCCAATTCCTGGGATGGAGAGATTTTCTTATCAGAAAAAATTGAACAGGATAGGCAGTTTAGAAGATTGAGAGGTGATCTTATCGAAGCACTTAAGATTTTGCGAGGACTGAGAAATGCTTCTATTCATGGGGAGCATGGAACCAGGAGATACAATTTCTAAATAAGAAGTATCTCATTTAAGCTAGAAATAGGAAGGAACTTCTATGCTCAACTAATTTTATGAATTATTTTCCACAGAGAGCATTGGAGGCTGGGTCATTAAATATATTCAATGCTGAGTTAGACACATTTCTGATCTACAAGAGAATCAAAGCTTATAGGAGCTGGCAAGAAAATAGAGTTAAAGCCACAATCAGACCAGCTATGATCTTGTTGTGTAGTCAAGCAGACTTGATGCGCCTAAAAGCCTGCTCCTATTTCATAGGATTATGATTTTGTGTCTCCCCTGCCCTTAATTCTTATAAGTCCAAACTGCTTTCAGACTAATTTGTCAGAGATAAAGAATATCCATTCAGCTACTTAGATGTTTCTGTCTCCTCAGGCACTGAGCCACACCTATTAGACAGTGAAATAACAAGGTGTAGAGCTGGATGAACACAGCAGGCCAAGCAGCATCAGAGGAGCAGGAAGGCTGACGTTTCGGGCCTTCTCTTTAAGCCTTGACACAACGTGGCAACCCAAAAATCCATACACACAAGTCAGCCTGTTAAGCATACATGGCCTCAAAAAAAGATCGTACTCTTTCAAAAAAACATGGTGAGAACACAGCTTCCTGGATCTCCCCACTGCCATAGGTCTGAGTTCCTCTATCCAACTAGTTCACCCTCTATACCTTTTTCAAACTCATTTTGTCTTTGAAATCTATTTCTATTCTCCCAAACCCTTATTCATTAAACTCTTGACAATGTAATTTGTCTTCTTGGCATTAAGGTAGTTTAAATGGCTCCATCACCACAGCACCATTACTTTCAATCCACTGTATCCCTCCCTCAAATTAGTCATCTATGAGCTATCTGTCCACACTAACTGCTATTCCATCTCCCAGCTCCCTTTATCTCCCAGAATGTTCCCAACAACTCTTTTTTTCAGACTTTTCCACCATACCATGCAACAGATACAGCCCAGACCAAAGTCATAAACAATTATATGAAAGCAAAATACTGTGGATGATGGAATCCAAAACAAACACAGAGATTGCTGGAGAAACTCAGTAGGCCTGGCAGCATCTGTGGATAGAGAAACAGAGTTAATGTTTTGAGTCTGGTACGACTGAAGAAGAGTCAAACTGGATTCAAAATTTTAACTTACTTTCTCTGCTGCCAGTTCTGCTGAGTTTCTCTCGTATTCTCTGTTTTGTTTCATAAATAATTGTGACTTGCATTGTCCTCATCCTGACCTATCTGAAGCCTTTAGTGCTGTTAGTCTGCTGTGCATTGTCCAATTTGAGACTGCCCTTGCTTTGTTCACTCATACTTATCTAATCATGGCCAGGGTTTGTCTAGCAATTGCTTCCTCTCCCACCTCACACCTTGGGAGGCCCTTCAAGGGTCTCTCCTTAATTCTCTTTTCCCTGTATGCTCCTTGGTAATATTATCTGGAGACATGAGATTAGTTTTCACACATGATTTAATGATACCCAGACCTCCTGCTCACCACTACTCTCAACCAGCCCTAATTTGCCTTAATTTAACAGATTGCTGGCTAGTATATAGTCTCAGAGTGGTCACAATTTCTCCATCTGAATATTTGGGTGAATGAAGCCCCACTTCAAATTTTGTTACCTCACCACCAACTCCATTCCTCTCCTCCGCTGCAGTTTCAGGCCAGGTTAAGCATAGTTTGAAACTTCTGTGTCCAGTCAGTCAAGATACCATATACATCATGAAAATTTGCAACATTCAACTCTGTAGCATTATCTGCTCTTCCCTTATCTCAACCCATGTACCACTGAAAACACTGATCCATGGAACTGACCCTTCCAGTTTTAATTATTCAATTATTCTTCGGTCCAACTTCCCATTGTCCATGCTCCACAAGCTAAGATTACCAAAACTCTGTTGCCTGTATACTAACTATGCCCTGACCATGTATTTGCAGGCATTCATTAACTTTTGATCACCTCCATGAATAAGCTCTTGATCTCTCATCCTAATCCTGTTGCTTTGTGTTACTTTTCCTTTGCCTCTGTCAACATAAGTTTAAAAGGAACCTGAGGGGCAACATTTTCACGCAGAGGGTGATGTGTGTATAGAACAAGCTGCCAGATGAATTGGTGGAGGGAGGTACAATTATATCATTTAAAAGGCATCTGGATGGGTACATGAACAGGAAGGCTTTCGAAGGTTATAGGCCAAATGCTGGCAAATGGAACTAGATCAGTTTAGGATATTTGGTCGGCATGAACAAGTTTCCATACTGTATAACTCTGACTCTGTCTCTACGAATATACCAACATACAAATTAGGAGCAGGAACCAGCCACTCGGTCCCTTGAACCTGCTTCGCTTTAAAGACATTTTGTAAAGGCATATTTTTCATATTTTGTTCCCTTGAAGTCCTGGAGATAGTCTCTGCACTAATGGAACTCTAATCCTGTACCAGTGACTATCAGAAGTTCACTCAAGTGGTTATTGTTTACATTTGAGTCTGAATATTAGTTGCTAGTAAGCAGTCATAATGGCCCAATGGTAACATTCTCAAATTTTAGTCAGAAAGATATAGTTTCAAGCTTGAGTACATATGTCAGAGCAGTACTGAGTGGATGCTTCTTTGTTCAAATCACAGTCTTTTGAATGAGACGTTAAACTGGGCCATGATCCGATGATTAAAGAGGAAGAATGAGTGTTTGGCAAATTTATATCCCTCAATCAACATCACCAAAAACTTGTTAATTTGTAGTCTCTTGCTGTACACCAGTTGCCTTGTTTATTTGAAAACCAGCCATAACTACATTTCAAAAATATTTTATTTTGTGAAACATTTCAGAAAACCTCAATGTCTGTTAGGTGTTAATTAAATGCAGTTTTTTGGTTTTATAGACCTACATGGAATGCTCTGGTGCTTAATGTGATGTTTTCCAGCAGTAGTCAGTAAATAATGAAAAGATAAAACCTTGGATGTTATTCCCAATCCATGGACTCAAAGGTCAACTACAAGTCTCCAGTGCTGCTTTGACTGACGTGATTGAATTCAGCATAGACCAGTGAACAGAGCTTGCACTTGCAAGTACAGTTCAATAGAACATGGCACAACTTCCAGCTGGGTCGGCGGGGAGTGGACAGCTGTATTTATTTTTATTGATTACACTATTGACAGTTCCTAAGTACAATTCTTCAATCATACTGAATTGCCATCAGTCCTGAGTGATTGGTCAACAATGGAGATTTTTACTTTGAGCTATGAATGGGGTTTCCCATCATGTCAACCAGTGATGATAAGATAATTATAGTCTCTGCATAAGTTAGTTGGAATTTAGCTACAGAAATACTGGAGTGGAAGTCACTGTAACCATGAGCTACATTCAAGCCTGCACGAGGCAGCTGTTAGTGTCTTTAATGTGACTCTTTCAGTTGCTGGTTTTCAGTATGCAGTTAACCAGAGGATAGAAGAGTCCAAAAATAGTTATCCTATATTGTAAACAGCCAGAATTATCTTCAGGATACGTTCTATTTAATGAATAACATCTATTTTCAGCCTAATTTTCCTTGTACATACCAATCATTGCTTTAAAAATAAATGTTATAATTCAAAATATTTTCCATTTGAGTGATTTTAGTTCTTTTCCATCTTCTAATAATGTTATATTTGCTTCATGCCTTCAAAATGTTACACTTTGTTCCTGGAAGAATCAAACTTAACCAAAATACATTGAGGTCACACTGACATAGCATTTCAGTCTAGTTCAAACAGTTCCTCATCTCTTTAGTTCTTGATATGTTTGATATCAAGATGATTGAAGTCCTGCTTTCACATAGTAGTCACTTGTTTTATTAAGGAAATGTGTAGGCTGGTTTGGCAATAACTGTGTTATTGTCACTTTTGAACTTCTATCTCATTTGAGATTGTTATTTAGCTGATGCTCATTATTTTAACATTTTGATTGTATAAAGTAACTGTTAAAATTGTTTGAGATACTGACACAATACAGTACGTGTATGCAGTTAACCTTCTCTATAATGTTGATTTGTTATGCTGGAGAGGTTATCATAGAAAAGTAATCAGAAAAAATTTGTTTTGTACCAGAGATTATGGTAAAACATAATAGAAAAATATTAATTGCCGTTTGTCAGGTAGGATTTCTATTTCGCAAAGATCCTATTAGGAGATCATGCACTCATTTCCATCTAACCAAATTTTCTGAGCTTTTCCAGCTGTTCAATTTCTGCCTCCAAGAAAATAGATAGGAGCGGGAATAGACCATTCATCCTGTCAAGCCTGCACTGCTATTCAATATGATCATGGCTGATCAACAAATTTGATGCTTTTACTGTCCCTATCCCCATATCCTATATACTATTGATACTCAGTTATCAATCTTTTCCTTAAACATGCTCAAAGATTGAGCTTTTATTACCTCTGTAGTAGATAATTCTGAAGGTTCATAACCTTGTGAGTAAAATAATTTCTCATCTTAGATTGAAATGGCATCCCTTATTTTAAAATTCTGCCTACTGGTTCTAGGCAAGGCTAGATAAGTTTTTGAACAGTAAAGGAATTAAGGGTTATGTTGACCCGGCGGGTAAGTGGAGCTGAGTCTCAAAAAGATCAGCCATGACCTTATTAAATGGCGGGGCAGGCTCAACAGGCCGGATGGCCTACTCCTGCTCCTAATTCTTATGTTCTAGACGGGGAAATGTTACCTGCATTTACTCTCTCTATTCCTTTAATGACTTTTTAGGTTTCAGTGAGATCGCCCCTCATTTTTCAAAATCTGTAGAATACAAGCCCAATTTGCCTAATCTCTCATCATAGGACAGTCCCAGAAACCAGTCTGGTAATCCGTCATTGCACTCCTCTATGGTGATAATGTCTTTCCTGAGATAAGGAGACTGAAACTGCATGTGGGTACTACAGGACTGGTCTAATCAAACTCCTAAAGAATTGAAACATGTCTTCACTGCTGTATTTGAATCTTCTCACAATACAGGCTCACATTAGCCTTTCAAAAAGCTTGTTACACCTACATGTTAACCTTCAGTTACTTATTGAGGAGGACATGTAGGTCCCCTTGTAAATTTGTATTTTTCAAATTCTTACCATTTAAGAAGTACTCTGCATGTCTGGACATCCTGCCATAGATGCTGAATCAGGCACAGAGCATCCCCCCTTCTCAAAGCTAATTGGCCTTCATTCCCATCAGCTGACACTTACCCTGGCTATTGTGTTGAAACGGCTGGTGCAGGATTGAGTCGTACATGCATTTCTTAATCCATGTCCCTAACCCCACTGGAAACTGTAAAACCCTGCCCTTTGTTTCTAATGTTGAGGTTTGTTTCTAATTCTGATGATAAACTTAATGAGCTATAATACTTGTTTTCTTTCCAGAAATAAAATGAAAGAAGCATGAAAGGGTATTTATCTTGGTTCAGAAGTTATGAAAATGATTAAGTTCTTCCTCTTGGTGAACAAGCAAGGGCAAATAAGGCTGTCCAGGTATTATGAACCTTTGGAAATTCACAAAAGAACGTTGTTGGAAGCTGATATTATTAAGAATTGCCTCCCACGGACAAAGAACCAGGTATAAGTCCCAACACTCTTTTTAAAAGCTAGCAAATCAGTCTTGGAATCATGAATGAATCTTTGTTAAAAATGTATTTGTTTACTTTGCCTACAGTACAAGGCAGGAGAGTAAGTTGTGAGGAGGACACACAGAATCTGTAAACTTAGATAATACCAAAGAAAGTCATATATTTAAATTTGCTGATGACACTAAGTTTGGTGGCATTGTCGACAGTGTAGGTGATAACACAAGATTGCAAACTGAAATTGATAGGTGAACGGGCAAAACTGTGGCAAGTTTATCCGTTATAGACCAGGCTACTTTCTAAATGGTATGAAGTTAAATACAGTGGATGTCCAAACAGATTTGGACTTTCAAGTGCAATGTTGTGAACAGGTGCAACTAGAAGGTTAATGCAATGCAGGCCTTTATATCTAGAGGACTGGACTATAAGAATGTAGAAGTTATGCTGCAGCTGTGCACACATTGGTTAGACCCCATTTGGAGTACTATGAGCAGATGTGGGTACCACACCTTAGAAATGATGTATTGGCCTTGGAGGGAGTGTAACATAGCTTTACAACACAGGTCTAGATGATATCTAGACTTCATGGGTAAGTTATGAGAAGAGGTTATACAAATTGGCATGTTTTCTCTAGGAGTAAAAGAGTGATCTGATCGAAGTCTTCAAGATATTAACAGGAAAAGACAGGGTAAATAAAGATAAACTGTTTTCACTTGTTGGGGATTTTAGAACTAAGGAGCATAGTCTGAGAATTAAGGCTTGACCATTCAGGAGAGATATTAGGAGGCACTTAAAATCATCGTATCCCCACAGTGTGGAAAGAGGTCATTCAGCTCATCGAGTCTGCACCAGCCCTCCAAAGAGAAACTCTTCCCTGCAAGTCTTTGCTGCATCTTCACTGAGTCTTCACTGGGTCTTCATTGAGGGTGTGGTATCTAGGTGTGTGTACTTAATCCCCTTCATACTGACCTTCCAGAATGTTCCTGTGGCCTTTGGCCAGTGGTGTCATGAGCTGGGTTCAAATCTTCCAATAGGGTCGTGCCAACGCACTTTACTGTTGCCATGCCAGGAGGTGGAAAATGAACATACTCAGGCAATCAAGATGCCTATTCATCTGATCGACACTTCAAAACACAACCCTCAGGCTGGTTGTACCTGGTTTCCCTTAAACCTTTGTAACCTGTTTGATCTTGGTTCCAAATGTTCTCTGTAGCTGATAGCTGCAGGCTGCTGTTTAATCTTCTGTAAATTTTCTATCAGACCTGATTTCTCTGGCTGTCAGTCAGCTTAGAGTGACCAATTCTGGGCCTGTGGTGCTTGACCACATATTTAATTGCCAACCAGGCTTGAGGCTCCAGGCCTCCTCCTACTGCAATGTCTCATGTATAAATGTTGTATCATATTGATATTACTGTTATTGATCCTTTTAGCTACAGTAAGGTTACATTGCACAAGGGGATTTAACACAGTAGCAAGTTTCAACGTCAGATAAGATACCTGAGGTTTCATGAAGTTCTTTATGAAGAGAAAATGCAGATGAATTGTGTCATTTGTCTGAAAGGACCAATTGATGTAGGAGGCTTCTTGGCAGGAGAAATTAGGATAAGGAAAAGAAACTGCATCATCAGATTCTCTTCAACAGATTAAGAACCACATGGTGTTTCCCAGAGGAAGAGAAGAAGACTGTTGGGCTCAATCAACATGTTAGTATTTCTGAGGCCTGGCTTGGGAAATGCAATGTGACACAGAAGTATCTAAAGATGGAACAAAATAATTTTAATAATTTTTTAAGTTTGGAAATGTAATAGAATCCAATTTACAAAAGAGTGACAAATTGAAATTATGAAACTGACAATGCTTCTTGTCTCATCCCCAGTGTTCATTTGTTGAGTACAAGGATTTTAAACTTGTGTACCGACAGTATGCTGCACTCTTTGTTGTGATCGGGATTGATGATGCAGAGGTAAGCAGTGTTTACCATTCTCACTAAACCAATGAATGCTGAACTCCTTTGGCAAGGGTATGGTCTATATCTTTCATTTAGTACACATTGTCAATATACACGTCAGCTCTTCACCTTGGACAACATTTGGAAAATAGTATCTTGTAAAAGAGCTAGCATTAATCCTCACATTTACAGTGTTATTCATTTTACCACTGACCTTTGACAATTTAAGTAAAAAAAAAATGGAATGAATTAATGCCTATAATTAAACTATAATATGGTCATATAGGTACAGCTCACCCACAGTGAAACAGTTAATGGGCTGAATTTACACAGATCTGTACTGGTGAATACAGCATCACATGTAATCTTGTATTTATCTTGTATCTCGCTGATGTGTAAATTATGTATATGGCGCAAAATATGATTCTGTACAAATAACAGCATCTGACTACTGTACCTATATTAGAGTACACTTCAGTGGAATGACAACTGCCTTTTTGTTCTAGTTTTGAAGTCTTGCAGACCTGCTGATATCACAGATAGATATAAACATCATTCATATTTTAGAGTTCATTTTGATGCTCATGGATTTTAGATATTTAAGTTGCTGCTATTGTGAACAGCACCGCTTTAGTGCAGAACTGGAGCATTGAAGTACCTCATCATTACCAAGCAACTGAGCACTGACCACGTATTCATTGGGTGGAAACAAACTCTGGAGAATCACCAGCAACATAAGAGCTCCTGTCTCTGATATCTGGGTTTGGCAACATATGTTCGGAGTAATGTTAAGACGGATTGCAACTTGCATTCCAATGTTAACTTCAAGAACAATGCAAGCTTGAGGAACTACACACTATTTTCTGCTTATGCACTTTACAGTCTCAAAATCTCAATATTGAATTGCATATCTTCAGGAACTGACCACATTATGTCTGTCACGCCTACACATACATTAATCGCACGTGCACACACACGCACACACACACACACAATTTTCTTGTTTGTGTCTTATTTACTTTGCTCTTAGAGGAAAAGGACTGTTCACTTCCTCTCACTCCTTTAATTTACAAGCATTTTACATCTCCTTTTCTCTTCACCATTAACAACCACTTTGTCTTTTGCACTAGGCCTCTACATTGTCTGCCTCCCTGAACTTTAAAAAATCCCAAACTTGAAAGGTAAACTCTGCTTCTCTCATCATTGATGCTGCCAGTCCTGCTTAGTTTCTCCAGCATTTCCTGTGTTTGTTTCAGATTTATGACATCGCAGTGTTTTGCTTACCCTTTAGAATCTTGTATGTTTCGATAAGATCACATCTTGTTCTTCTAAACTGTAACGAATAAAAGCATATCTTGTTTTGTTGTTCTCGGTCAGTCATCCCAGGAATCAGCCTCTTTTGAACTGCCTCCAATCCTAGTACATCCTTTCCTAAATACAAGGACCAAAACAATATATAGTACTCCAGGTGTGGCCTCACCAACACCCTGTGGAGTTGTGACAAGATTTCCTTAGCTTTAAACTGCAACCCTTTCATAATAAAGGCCAAATTGCCATTTGCATTCTTAATTACCTGCTGCATATGCATGCTGACCTTTTGATTCTTCCTACTAATGTGCGTGACCTCACACACCCCTACATTAAACTTCATCTGTTACATTTTTGTCTGTTCACCCAACCTATCAGTATTCCCATGCAGATTTCTTATATCCTCATCAGAAAATGCCCTCCTCCTGTTATGTATTGTCAGCAAATTTGGAAACATCACACTCCAAGTCATTATAGATTGTAGATATTTGAGGCCCTGGGGCTAATCCTTATGATACTTTGTTTATTACATCTTTTCAACCTGAAAAAGACACATTACTCCCAACTCTGTCTGTCTTCTGTATATACTCAGTCCCCAATCATTGGTAATACATTACTGTGAATTGTTATCTTATACAATAACCTTCAATAAAAGATTAATTAATTAATTACAATAACCTTTAATAACCTTTAACCCAATACTGTGAATTGTTATCTTATACAATCACATTTAATGTGACACCCTTGAATTCCTTCTAGAAATCCAAATACACAACGTCTACTGGTTCCCCTTTAGCAACTCTGCTTGTTATGATGTTGGAATGGAAGCAGTGCAGATAAATAACTAACCTATTTTTGATTTTCAGAATGAACTGGCTGTGTATGAACTTATACATAATTTTGTCGAGGTTTTGGACAAATATTTCAGTCGAGTGGTGAGTATTAATATTAATAAATATTAATTTACCTGTGATTTACATGGCTAATGTTGTTCCATGATGGTGTAATGGCACATCTCAGTGGGTCATAAATGAATTTGGAAATGGCATAGATCAGACTACAGCACTAACTCGGTCAAATATCTATGATTTCTGAAGAAGGGTTGAGGCCCAAAACATCAGCTTTCCTGCACCTCTGATGCTGCTTGGCCTGCTGTGTTCATCCAGCTCTACACCTTGTTATCTCAAATATCTAACCCATTGCCTCGCAAAACAGATAATGAATAAAATATATTTTATAATTGGAAATATTGAGATCTTGTTGGCAACATGTATTATATTCTAACTTAGTTTTAAGAAAGCAGACTATCAAGAGAATGAGGCCATTTGTGAAGCGGTTTGAAAAAATTTGCTTGGACAATATTTTGACAGAAGTGACATTGAATGTCAGCTTAAATCACTGAATAAGAAATTCAATAAACATGAGAGTAAACCTTTGATAATTGAATTAGTCAGGACAAAAGAAAAGGCTGTTCCTCACATATAGATCTTGGCACCAGTATTGGACACACAGGAGTACAAGGATCAGGTGAAGACTGACCAGTTCCTAGTTTGACAGTGGAAAGGAGGTTAGGATTGCAGGGAATAGAAATCACAGCTGAAAAAGGACAGATATCCCAGCTAGTGCCTGGAATCTTATTGAGGTATCAGGCATCTAACATGTTGGTTAGAGAATTGAGAAGAGACTTCTTTCATGAAGGCCCGCTGAACCACAAGCCAGTTAGGTAGAGGCGAGGCCATTGGTGGGCCTTCCCTTGGAATCAAGACCCTGAGATACAAATCTCACCTACCAAGAGCTACCAGCTGATCAAAAGCCTACAGATCTTCACATCAGCAGCATCACCATGGAAGCCATTGTGGTTGCTGAAAGGATAGGCACTGAGTCCCAGTATGTGCATTGACCGAGGCCACAGGTACATGATGTGGATGGGTGGTGTTGTAAGCTTGGGGTTGTGGAGATAGGAGTACTCTGGGATTGACCAGGGGCCTTCCCACCCAGAATTATATTCTGACGGAGATGCAAAGATAGTAGGGTTCAGGTACACTACCATTGTGCCCAATTACAGTAAGCCTATCTTGGCTCCAAGAGCCAACAAGAGTAGAAGATTCCATCCAGTATTTTTGTATCTGTATTGATGGAAAAAGGTGGTGAATCTTTATTTGAAATTAAGGTTTGTTTCCTGAGAAATGACATTTTAGGAACGTTGACTGATTTATTTATTGTCACTTGTACCTAAGTACAGTGAAAAGAGTCTTTTACCAGGTCATAGTAAACTAGGACATTGAGATCATAGGCTGGAAAAAAAAACTTAGACAGAGGCATACAGGTTACATCACACAGGGCATGCGCTAGGCAAGATCAACATTAGCAAAATCAGCATTATTTGAAGTTAGAGTCCATTCAGCAGTCCAATAACAAAGCCTCAGAGGTGGAAGACCTGCATAAAATGACATTCATGGATAAGCAGGAACATAGAGGAGATCATTAGAATCTGTTATAATTCTTTGAGGAGGAAACAGTGCAGAAAAATAGTAAGAATTCTATGAAAATTGTTAATCTAAAATGCAATAATATTTTTGATAACAGTAATAAGTTAGTCCATAAAGTCAAAAAGCACAGAATAGGAACAACCTTTGAAGTAGATTGACAGATAACTACCTCAAAGGAAACGAGTATGATAATGTTTGAAACTGCATTATAGTAGTGGGAACTGACTACTGCAGTTTTCCAAAAATTACTACTGGGACTGAGATAAATGGGTTGTTCTATGATGGTATAATGGCACATCTCATTGCGTCATAATTGATTTTGGAAATGGCACAGATCAGACTACAACATTAAACTAGGTCAAATATGTAACCCATTGCCTTGCTGTTATCCAGGTGACAGCCAAGCGTTGCAAAGATCTAAGAGCAGGATGATCCACAGAGGGATTTGGCTAAATTTGAAAGTCATGAAAGAAGTGGTACATTAAATTGAATGTCAACGAGTGCAAGGTGATGAAACTATCACTTTGACCATGCATTTCAATCTCTGTTCAATGTGCTGTGCAGTGCAGTAAAGGGTTTTGGAACATCAGTGGAACATTGAAGTCACCATGCAGCAGTGATAAATGTAGCAGATAGCATTTTTGCATGCATAGAACCCAGATCTCTGGCGTGATACTGAGCCAGATACCCTAAGCTGCATACTTTTAATTGTCATGTTATGCTAATGCTTTCAAAAAACTAGGAAAGATGTAGCACAAAACTGGCCTTTTGCTATCTGGTATCAAGTGCATGTGATAGCAGGAGGAACTGTAGCAGATGTGTTTGTTTACAGAAGAAAAGTCTGTAAAGGGATTTTAATAAGATATTCAAGATACTTAAAATTGTCCCTAAACCATGAAAAAAGTTTCCTATTGCGCAAAGAATAAGGAGAAAATAAGGAAAGAAGGTCAGAATAGCAGAGATGAATGCAAACATCGAATATAACGACTTCACATACAGCATGGCGTTAGTTTGGAATCAGCTCACGGCGAAGCCATTGAAACCAATAGTCTGCATAGGTTTAGGAAGGGCAGCTATTCCTGCCCTTCTCTTATAAAGGAAGAGGTATTGGTCATGAAATATTCCGTTTAAAGCTTCTGGTGTCAGACCAATAGACAAACATAATTTTCCATTCTTATACAAGTTTCATGTTCTGTGTCAAAATTCAAAGTATTTTGTTAAGAAATTTGAGTTTTTAATGACAATTTTAATTGTAATAAATAAGTTGATTAAAATATAGTTAAAGTCCTCACCTATCATGGCTTCATCTGTGCATAATTAGAAGTAAAACATTTGAGAGAGGTTAAGTCTGATTTTGGTTCTAAAATAAACACCATTTTGACATCAATATGTACATAATGTATGATTAGAATATATGTATAGAATGCTTTGTTGTCCCGAAAGAAAAGGTGTTAGCATCCCCTTTGGATAAAAACCCATTCAGTAAAACAAAATAAAAGCTCTCATTCAGTCAGTTCATGCCTGGTGTGTGGTGAAACCTAAGTTCTTACCCTTCTGTCAGTTCATGCAGCATGATTATCATTTGAGTTAATTCAGAGTATTTTAGTTATTGTCACAGGAATGTTTAGAAACCACAGAATGCTACATATGTACTTTATAACTACTTGTTCTATGTTGTTATACATATACTGTTACACCCTGCTTCATTCTTCTTCCATGACCTCCATTCTCACTTTGACTGCCACTAATATCTCAAGTTTAAAATCCTTGTCCTCACCCTTCAGTCACTCCATGGTGTCATTGCACCCTACCACCCCATCAAATGTTATTTTCCCAAACACTTTTCTTCAAATTGCTGTGCAGCCAGTTCCTTCATTTTGCTGTGAATGCCAGGGTACCTTTTCTTTGGAATTCCCTTTCTGAATTGTCTTCCTCTTCTCCCTCTGATATTAAGAACTCCCTCAGCTCTTCAGTTATTTTTTTCCGCTACCTCACTTGATCTTTCCCGATATACTTTTCATAGACTTAATATGACATGTCTTGGTCCTTTATTACAATCAAGGCACAATATAAGTAGCAGTAGCTGTTGTGCAGAATTAGAAATTTTGTAAGGTAATCACTTTGTTTTGTGATGATACATAATATAGGGCCAAACGCTAGACAACATTCTTAATTCTAATAACAATAACCTTACTGAAATACAGAATAAAACTTTGATTTTGTTATCTAACCATACCTGTGTATTTTCTTTTTCAGTGTGAGTTGGATGTATCCTTTTGTGAAAAATAATTTGTAGTTGACTGTATCTGGGAATTACAAATAATCATAAATATAGTCATAGGATGGTTGCAGCAGAGATAAAACCATAAGATATAGGAGCTGAATTAGACCATATATCCCATTGCATCTACTTCACCATTCGATCATGGTTGATATGCTTCACAATCATATTCTCCTGCATTCTCCCTTTAACCCTTGATCCCCTTAGTCATCAAGAACATATCTATCTCTTTCTTAAGTACACTTAGTGACTTGGCCTCCACAGCCTTCTGTGGCAATGAGTTCCACAGATTCACCACTCTCTGGCTGAAGAAATTCCTCTTTGTCTCGGTTTACTCTGAGGTGGTGCCCTTGGTTCTAGTCGCTCCTACTAGTAAAATATCCTGTCCATGTCCATTCTATCCAGGCCTCTAGGTATTCTGTAAGTTTCATCTAAACTCCATCAAGTACAGACCCAGAGTGCTCAGCTGCTTCTCGTATGACAAGCTTTTTATTCCTGCGATCATTCTCGTAAACTTCCTCTGAATCCCCTCCAAGGCCAACCCATTCTTCCTCAGAGCCTAAAACTGCTCACTGTATTCTAAATGCATTCTGACCAAAACCGTACACAGCCTCAGAAGTACATCTGTGCTCTTGTATTCCAGGTCTCTTGAAGTGAATGCTAACATAGCATTTGCCTTCTTAACAACAAACTGAACCTGTGTGTTAATCTTATGAGAATCCTGAACTAGGACTCACAAATCCCTTTGCGCTTCAGATTTCCAAAGCCTTTCCTCATTTAGAAATAGTCTATGCCTCTGTTCTTCCTACCAATTCCTCCAATTGTATTCCATCTGCCTCTTCTATGCCCACTGTCCTGTCCAAGTCATTCTGCAACCTCCCTGCCTGTTCAATACTACCCGTCCCGCCACCATTTTGTCATCTGCAAAATTAACAACAAAAACTTCAGTTTCTTTACCCAGATTGTTGATGTATAATGTGAATAGCTGTGATCCCAACACTGACCTCTGCAGAACTCCATTAATCACCAGCTGCCATCCTTAAAATAGAACCTTTATACCTAGTCTCTGCCTTCTGCCAGTCAGCTATCCCTCTTCCATACCAGCACCTTGCCCCTAATAACATTGGCTCATATCTTATTTCGCAGCATCTCCTGTGCAGCACATTTTCCAAGGCCTTCTGGAAATCCAAATAAATCATATCCACTAGCTCTCCTTTGTCTAACTCTCTTGTTACCTTCTCAAAGAATTCTAACAGATTTTTCTGGCATGATCTCTCCTTATCAAAGCCATGCTGACTCAGCCCTATTTTGCCATCCACTTCCAAGTACTCCGTAATCTCATCCTTAATAATAGACTCCAAAATCTTACCGATGACTGAGGTTAAGCTAACTGGCCTAGAAAATCCTGTCTCTAGCCTCCCTTCCTCCTTAAACTGGAGAGTTACATTAACCATTTTCCAGTTCTCCGGGACTCTCCCTAGTTCAGTAGTACTAAAAGATCACCACCAATACCTCTACAATCTCCTCAGTCTCTCCTTCAGTACTTTGGGCTATCATTGACAGTTGAACAGCAGAAGGAGATGTAAACTGTGCATGTTGAATGCATGCAATAATAATCATCTGGTCAGGGTGATTTATCCACTTTCAAACCTTTCGGTTTCCCCAGCCCTTTCTCCTTAGTCATGGCCACTATCCTCATCTCTGCCCCTGACTCTCTGAAGTTCTGGTATGCTTCTGGTGTCTTCCACCGTGAAGACGATGCAAACTATCTATTCAGTTCCTCTGCTATTTCTTTGTTCCCCATTACTACTTCTCCAGCCTCATTTTTCAATGATCCAGTGTCTACTCATGCTTCTCTCTTACTTCACTACCTGCCTTCCCACTTATTGGCAACAGTACATTCACTTTCCTGATCCTACTCATTAATGTATATATTGTAAATAATTGTGGTGCCAGTACTGATCCCTGTGACACTCCACTAGTTACAGTATGAGGCTGTTGCTCAGTGTCACAAAATGAAGGTATTCAACGTGCTTAGTTTACATCTTCTTCTGCTGTTCAGCTGGCAATGATAGCCCAACAATAATTCATTCTGATTTGACTTTCTTTACAGCAGCAAAAAAAAAACAGTGACCAAACAAGCACCTGCTCATTATATGTCCAACTGCCCATACCACTGTATTATTTGCTTGGATATTAATTTTTACTTTATCCTTTATTTATATTAACATATTGTTTAATTAACTTTATTTTTGTTGAATAACTAATATCAAGTGGGAACCTAGAGTGTAAATGTTTCCTCTGCAGCCACTTCATTGCTATCCTTTCATGTATGGTGGCCCCAGTATTTGAAAGACGTAGTAGGTCAACCATGAAGCTTCAAGATCACATGCTTCTGATCTGTGACATTTTTTCAAATAATTTTTCATTTCCTTAACATTTGAATTATCCAGATCATGTTTAATTTAGACAAAGTTCACATCATTTTGGATGAAATGATTTTGAATGGTCGTGTTGTGGAGACGAACAAAAGCAGAATCCTTGCTCCTCTGCTTGCACTGGACAAAATGACTGAAAGCTAAAACAAAGGAAGCTTGTTCAAAAGCTGCATCATCCATTCACAAGGCTTTTTCCTAACCTTTAAAATGATGCTTTATGGATGTCCTGAGTTTTTGTCCTAATAGGAAGCTTTCTTATAACTTGCAATAGAAAACCAGCTTCAGTACATCCAGAAATCTATAAAAAGATCGAGAATTGTTGATCAGAAACATCATAACTGTAATTACATGTAACAATTATTCTTGACTGGTTTAGAAGTTGAGGGGCACGCAATTGAGTGAAAATCATGTTTGTGATGGTATTGGAGAGGTACACTTCATATTTGAACATAAATCATCCAGAAATTCTGATCAAGGTTGGAAACTATTATTTCTGACCATTACCAGACCAAAAGAACACCCAGGTACATTTAGATGACTTCTACTCTGGAAATTCCTGGACAGGAGACTCATGTTAAGAACCAGGGGAGATCTATTCAGGAATCCTCAGAGCAAGCAGGAGAGGGATTCATTGTCAAAACCAGTCTCCCTGTTGCAGCAGTCATTGAGCCATATCCAGTACCACAGTCAGCCCCTTTGACAGCCAAGTGAAAGGGTACGCCTGAAAGTGTGGGGAGATGGTGCCAGGTGGGTAAGGAGTAGAATGCCAGGTAGTTATGGGGTTGGGGATAAGGTTGCAGGTGAGGATTGTAAGTGCCTCAAGGTTTGGGTGGCAAGTGGCAAAGGAGGTTAGAATGGGAGGTGGGTGATTGGATGGGGTGCAGATGGGTGAGGGAGTGGGATACCAAATGGGTGAGAGGAGTGGGCTGCCAAGTATGTGAGGGATTAGAGTAGCATGTAATTGGATGAGTGTTTTAAATGCATCTAGTGTCAGATTGAGAAGAAGATATTGGAGGGGAGCGGTGTGTGTGTGTCAGTCCATAGAAGGGAGGGGCACAATGTCAGGCCAGGAGGGTGGCATTGCATCGACTGTCAGGGAGAGGTGTTGGATTGGGTCACTTTTAAAAAAATGAAGGGAGCTTGAAGTACTTTGCATTTCTAACGTGTTTTGTTTATAGTTTGAATCCTGCAGTAAATTGTGAAACTGAACATTTTCTGTTGACTTGACTGAGCTTCCCTCAAAGAAAATTGAGGCTGTATTTTTGCAGAATCTTAAGAACTCCATAGCCAGTTAAAAACAGCAGGTGTGACTCGATTCTGGGATTCCCACCTGCCTTACTGACACCTCCAGTTTTCAGTGGGGTTGGTTGCGACCCTGCACTCCCAATCTGCTTAGATTCATTCTGGAAGGAGGCATTTCCTAGCCACCTACAGTCTTCATGGGTCAGATCAACGTCTCCTTGACTTGTGGTTCATGGCCTCTCAAAGGAATTGTAAACCAATGATTTACGACAACAAAGTCGTACTTTTTAATGAGCTTCTGGATCCAGCTGACCATGCACAGCTGACACAGCAAAAATGAAAATATCTACGTATTGACAGCTTTATAATATGCTGTTTGTTTTTCTGTGACCCCTTTTGTCAATAGTTCAATGTTTATATGCGCAAGATAAAGTGATGTCAAGTACTTATAACTTCTGTTATTGATACTTTAAAAGATCAAGTAGAGTGTAGCAACAGCAACTTATTTTTTAAATTATTTACATGTTTAAGAAGTTCCACACATGCCATTGTTATTATAGAGTTCGTTGGTTCTGTACAGAGTGTATGTCGGGCGAATGCACATGAAACTGCAAGGCATAGAGGGTATAAGATGCCGTTGGAAGTAGGTGAGGGGTCTGGGTTGACATGGAGTATCATGGGAGTCAGTGGGTGTGATGGGTGAGAGATAGAGGATCTAAAATACAAAAAGACAATTGGGACAAAATGCTAGGAAATGCAAATGAGGCTCACCTTCTAAACTGCTTTTCTTTGTGACCACCTTCATTATGCTTCTGGAAGACATGGGACCAATTCTATTCTGTACCCACCTTCCAAACTCTTGCTGCAGTTAAAATTGGACCATCCAAAGTGGTGGTAGATTCTTCCAAAGTGGTACCAAATTTTAACCATTAACTGTGCTCTTGTGACGTAAGATGTCTGATGTACTGAATAGTTTGTCTTTCCTTTATTTTATAGCTCCAAAATCTGCAATCTTTTGCTTTTAGTTTCCAAAAAATAAAAATATTTTGTACCTTAGCTTTGTGGTAACATTCATGTGTCTGTACATTGTGGATTCCAGTCCACTGGAGATTTCAGTATTAAATGTAGGTGACACTTCTATGCACTACTGCAGCAAGATTGACATGGAATAGCATGGGAGTCAATGGGTGTGATGGGTGGGGAATAGAGGATCTAAAATACAAACAGACAATTGGGACAAAATGCCAGGAAATGCAAATGAGGTGCCATCTTTTGGATGAAATGTTAAAACAAGGTCCTGTCTGCTCTGTCCAAGGAACATAAAAGATCTCACAGCACTATTCAAAGATGAGCAGGACAATTCACCTGGTGGCATAACCAATGTATTTGTCAACCAACATCACTAAAATACTTGAGATAACAAGGTGTAGAGCTGAATGAACACAGCAGGCCAAGCTGGGGTTCCCATTTCTGAGGAAGGGTCTAGGCCCGAAACGTCAGCTTTCCTGCTCCTCTGATGCTGCTTGGCCTGCTGTGTTCATCCAGCTCTACACCTTGTTATCTCAGATTCTCCAGCATCTGCAGTTCCTACTATCTCACTAAAATACATGATGTGGTAAGTTATCTAATTGCTGCCATGGGACCTTACAAATAGGCTGCTGTGTTTGCTACATTACAACAGAAACTATAACACTACTTCATTGTCTGCAAAGTACTACCAGATATCCTGATGTTGTGAAAGCAGTATATAAATTAAGTCTTTTAGACTAGAGTGTCCAGATTCGATTCCTGAAACATACTGCATGATTTAATTTAGCTTGGCTGCCAGACAAGGCATGACAACCGGTATAATTGACCTGTGTTAGGAATGTGAGGAAGTAACTAATGTTACTACTGCACTCTTCATATGAGAAGGGCTGATGTTTAGACATGAGTCCAGGATTGGCGTCCAATTTATACATTATTACACAGCAATACTGTTTAACAATCTCTTCCATTTCAAGTTTATGAATTGTGATAAAAAAGTTTATAATTTATATATATTAATATCATTTATGGCATTTTGATTTCAAAATCAAGAAATGGGTAATGGCTACTTCTGTGACAAGTTTATATTTAAGAAAACAAGGTTAGAGAGTCCCTCCAGAACACTGACCTAAATCCAGCATTTGTCAGAAAGCAGGTGACTGCAGCCCCCTGTGGTGTTAATGAAAGATGTTTACATTGCTGGAATTACAAAAGGTATGGAAACAGTTTAGATCATTTGCTTTGTATTCAGTAATGAAGAATTCAAGACTGAGCAATTTTTAAAATTCAGTTCAGAAACCATGAAGGTCAAGTTCAGAAGCACGTTTGGTTGCTTGTGTCGACTGGTGCAGGGTTTAGTTTGTTAATCTTTCAAACCAAAGGAGTTTGGTTTGAAATCTGTGGGTTTTTAAAACTGAAAAGGTTTAGGCTCTCAGATTCTTGAAAAGTTCATGTAAACAAAATTTGGAAGGGACTCATCAAATTGGTCTCTGCAGCTCATGGCAAAGAAACTGTAAGGAATCAGTTAAGGAGAAACTTAAAGATAGGTACGCAATTTCTCTGGACTTAAGTCCCTGTAATTATAGTGACAGAAAAAAGTTCAAACTTTGCTTTGCTCTGTGTTTTAAGATCCCTAACCCTATCTTCTGTATTTAGATAGCTTGTTTTATTTTATGTAATGAGCTTCTGTTGTTAAAGAAAACAACCATATGTGAATATGTTTCAGTGATGAAGCACCACATTGACTAACGAGCAAAAAACATATATTTCTATCAGGCCAGATCTCATTCCGGGATCCAATTCATCCAGTAGCACCATCAGCTGGGGACATGCTGCAAGATCATGAGATTAAACCCATTCAGCCAATTAAATGATTTAATCTTTTTGATTTCACTTTGCTGCTATGTTTTTGTTAGACGACCATAAGGAAACCTCATAACCTATTTTCTGGCAAGTTTCTCCAGCATTTTAATACCATGACTATGTATTCTAGCTGTAGGGATCAGTACTGGGACTCTTCTGCATTGCAAGTTAGATTCCTGAATAAATTCTGGATTGATAGGTCCTATATTGAATTTTTGCAGTTGATTAATGTGGTTAGCCACTGAAACATATTCACGAAAGACTGCAGATGTTTTTAAAAATATAGCAAGTTTATTGTACAAAATAAACAAGCAAAACTATGGAGAGAAGACAAAGATCTTACAAACATCAAAACAAAACAAAATTTCTGAAGAAGGGTCTAGGCCCGAAATGTCACCCTTCCTGCTCCTCTGATGCTGTTTGGCCTGCTGTGTTCATCCAGCTGTACACCTTGTTAAAACAAAATTGGAGCCTGTTTTCCAACACTATCAATGAGAGAGACTCAATTCCAGAGAAATGTCAGTCCAGTCTCAGCTTTTTACATGACTGCTGCTCTACAGTTTCTTTCCCATTGACTCCGATTTTTTTTTTAACAATTTTTGTTTTGACTGATGACATGAACCTTTCATGATTCTGATTGTCTGAACTTGTTTGGTTCTAAGAACTTGAAGATTTCTATCCAAGCTGTCTGGCTTGGAAGCTCAATGGACTAGAAATCACTTCTGCTGTGGTGACTGTTCCTGTAAACAGAGCTGATTCTGCAGCTAGGACAAACTGTTCCACCTTCTGAACACTGGGTTTTTCTGAACTAAATCTTTAAGCCTTCTATATTGAGATCATAACTAAATCTAATATATTTGGCCTGTCATGAAACCAACAATACATACGTTTTGTCTATTAACATTGCAAGGATTCCCCCAGGCTCTCTACTGAAGTGTTTGGCTGACTAGTCCACATTAACTATCCAACCTTCAAAACAAAACTTTCACAGAACTGAACCACACCAATTCACCTCTATCTTGAAATCAAAATACAAAATATACATCTTTCATCACAGCCAACTAAGTTATCTACCTAAGCCTAGAGATCCCAAATGAAGATTGAGAAGAAGCAAACAGAAGACGACATCCTACCTATTCAGATGTTACATTTAGTGTACCCCCAATAAATATGCTGGGCTGGAAATCAATAATTAACAGTTCTCTGGAGATCTGGCCGGCTTGGATATTGAAATACGTAACTCCACAATGTAAACTGATAGAATGCCTATCAACCATTGATGGACATGCAAGAACTCGATCCTTTAAGTGCTACAGAAACTGCTTATTCCCTTGTCTCTTCCAACAAGGCTTTCAATAGTCGGTGAATCAATAGCTAACAAGCACAGAGTTGGACAATAGATTCTAGTCAGGAGTGTCCAAAAGGGACAAAACAGCACAGTTCCCTAAAACATGGGAGTGTAATGATATCATCCTCACAGCAGGGCTACACAATATAGTTTATCAAACAATGATCTTATCAACTGGAGTTTCACAGAATTTTCTCCTGGAGTGGCATGAGTGAAAGGTAGCAAAATATGGAGAGAATGAGAAAAGTCACTAGAGGCATAGATAGGGTAGGTAGGAAGAAATTTTTCTCCTTAGTAAGGGGGTCATAGATTTAAGGCAAAAGTTTATAGAGATTCAAGAAAGAATATGTTTATCCAGAAGATGTTGGATATCTAGAACACATTGCCTGAAAAGAATGATAGAGACAGGAACTATCATAACATCTATGAAGTACTTAGATGATTATTTAAAACACAATAGCACACAAGGTTACAAGCCAAGTGCTGGAAGATGGAACTAGAGTGATTGATAACCAACATGAACATGGTGGGCCAAATGGCCTCTTTTCATGCTGTAAAACTCTATACTCTAAAATCAGAGTAACAATCAATCTATACAAAAGCAGAATATTGCAGATGATGGAAATTTGAAACCATACCAATGTTAGTCAATTTGTTATTCTCACACACACCCTAGCATTGACATTATAACACAGTAATCACTTAATGATCTTTGCTGAAGTTTTTGGCAGCATCCTGTGTTCTAAGGAACAAAAAGCAAGATAGGCAAGAAAGCCTAATTGTTTATGAGGCTAAAAATTAGCTTCTTAACATTGGCACGAAAGTTGGAATAAAGCTCCTTGAACTTTAGATGGCATATTGAGCCTTTTCATATGAAGTTGCATATCATACTTGATCATTAAAAGATTAGCTCACCAGACTTGTTACCCTTTTTAATGAAGTTCTCTGTTCGCAAGCAATATGTGCCTTCAAATCGCCGACTGTATGTTAGAGGTGTGCAGCACAGGAGCTGGTGTACTTGCTGGAGTTGGAGTGAGTAACTGCTACTTTGCTGAACATTCTTCCAACATGCATTGGTTTGAGATTGAGTGAGAGGAATCCAAAGAGGCATGAACAGGGAACCAGGAAGGTTGCCAGGTTAAGAAAGGCAGGCTGTCTGATGGAAAAAGAGGAACAATAATGTTGTCATGAAGTTTGTAGGGTAGCGAGAGATTGAATAAGATGTTTCTAAGGGGCAGGCATTTGTGGCTGAGGTCCTTTGGGTTAAACGAAGGGCAATGGACAGACGATAACAGAGACAGTGAGAAACATTGCATCTCTAAGTTGATGTTAAACTTTCCAAGCATGGTTCCAATTGTTAGACAATGTTTAAACTCCCCTGTAAGGGAATGATTGCACAACTCTGTGTATTTCTCCAGCATGACAAATGCTGCTGAAGTCTAAGAAAAGTCCTTGATTGATGCTGTACCAAAGAAAGGCAAAACAATCATTCTTGATGACTTCAACACAAGTGTTGATCAGATCACCAAGTGAGGGACGGCCCATTAAGGCAACAACAGTGCTGGCAATTGTAACAGCTCTGGTGTCCTCTTATTGAAGATGTGTGCTGAGCCTGTCCTCTTAATCACCAATCCTTTTTCTGTCTCCATCACCACAGTCTTGAATGCATCCCCATTCCATGCACTGGCGTCTAATTGACTGTCATCACCAAGCAGAGAAAGGCAGGTTGTGCATGTAACAAAAAAACCATGTGCAGCACTGACAACTGAATTATCATTTCAAAGCTAAACATCATTCTGGAGGTCGTCAGGGTAGGAAT